TAACAGCTGTAGCACTTAACCACTGCACCACCAGAGCTCCAGAGGTTAGTGGAGGCGCAGGGTAAATTGTTCTATAAGCACTGCACTTCAGACTGGGCCACACAAAGTCTAGCCTAGAGTGAGAAAAAACTAAAGGACCAGCTTTTATATCTGACCTAGAATCCCAACGAACAAGTGCTATTTTCTGGGTTTTCCCATCCAGCGGCCTAAGATCACTAAACCCTGCCAAATTGCATCTGTTGTTTGCTTAAGACTATGGTAATCAAATTCTAAACGCACAGACATATACTTTGATCCAGCAATTCCAGAGCTAGGTATTTACCCTACAGGTATTCTTCACTAAAAAGAAATATTATGTACAAAGCTATGCATCACAGTGTTATTTGTGACTGCAAAACATTTTACATAACCTTAAAAGGCATCAGTGGAGAACTTACTAAATAAATCATGGTTTATCCTCACAACAGAATGCTATGTAGCAGGTAAAAAAAATAAAGTAATATTTATGTACAATTGACCATCCATATCTTCAGGTTCTGCATCTGTGGTTTCAACTACCTGAGAATTGAAAATATTTGTGGGGGAGTTCCAAAAAGCAACACTTGAATATGCCACGCACGCGCCTAGGGCTGTGCCGAATCCACGCGAATAAAGTGCAGTGTTGGCAGCCCTGGCTGTAGCCTCCCGCTACTTCACAGATTCTCAGTCTTTCTCTCCAGTTCTCGTTGTTTGACCATTGTTCACCTCCAGTCTTGTCATTATTCCCTATACGGTACAATAGTGTATAACAACTATTTAGGTGGCATTTCCATTGTATTTGGTATTGTAAGTAATCTAGAGATGATTTAAAGTATACAGGAGGATGCACGTAGGTTATATGCAAATACTATGCCATTTTATATAAGGGACTTGAGTATCCTCAGATTTTGGTATCCAAGGGGTTCCTGGAACCAGTCCCCTGTGGATACCATCCCGAGGGATGGCTGTACTAAAATGCAAAAAGGTCCAAGATATAATAACTGAATAAATGGAAGATGTAGAACAGCTTATATAGTATGTAATCATTTGTGTTAAAAAAAATACAGAATACAGACACATATGCGTGTAAACGCACAGGATATCTAAGAAAGGGTATGCAAGAAAGGGTGCCTCTGAGGTGGAAACATGAGGGAAGAGGGTGAAGAGAGGGAGGAGGGAAGCCACAATTCTGCCTATTGAGTATCGTGAGATTTATCACATAATAATCATCTAACACACATAATGTTTACTGCACACCAAGCATGTTCTAAGCACTTTACATACTTTTAACTAATTTAATATACTCCTTTTAAACTATAGATATTCATATACCTGTCTTATTTCGCTAAACTATTAAATCCTTGAGAGCAAAAACATGACTTAAACATTTTTATATCTACACAAACACTACTATAACATCACATAATAATGTTCTCAAGAAATATGTGCCTCATTCATTCTTTATCAAACCTGAAACTAATTATCTTCACCATTTAGAGCTGACTTAAGAGCTTGAAAATAGTCTTTATGTAAAATCAACTTTTTATAATTAGTTTTCTATGCCATGAAGGTGAGTCATAATCCAAAAGTAAGTGGCTTTGAAAATGTGCAGTTATACGTATATCTGATTGTGATTGTGCTGTACATACTGGGAATTTTTTTCTTTTTTTATTGTACTTTAGGTGAAAGTTTACAGCTCAAGTTAATTTCTCATTCAAAAATTTATACACATATTGTTTTGTGACATTGGTTGCAATCCCCACAATTTGACAGCACACTCACCCTTTCCACCCCAGGTTCCCTGTGTCCATTCGTCCAGTTCCTGTCCCTTCCTGCCTTCTTGTCCTGCTTTTGGACAGGAGCTGCCCATCTGGTCTCGTATATTTGATTGAACTAAGAAGCACATTCCTCGTGCGTGTTATTTTTTGTTTTATAGGCCTGTCTAGTCTTTGTTTGAAAGGTGGGCTTCCAGAATAGTTTCAGTTCTGGGTTAGCAGAGCATCCGGGGGCCATAGCTTTGGGGAATATTGGGAATTTAAACAAATTAATGAAGAAAAGTTGTCCAGTTTCCCTCTTACTTTCCATTCAAAGGGGAAAGACTTCAGTATCAAAAGCACAGTCCCTTCCCGTTTTAAATTGTACTTGATTGAGTTCAGGGGAGTATTTAGTGCTTACGTGTAAAAGGTCTCTTGTAAGTTGAATGGGATCAAGTATATAAAGTGCCTAGCACAAGCCTGACCCATCATAAACCCCCATAAGCCCATCACAAACGTTGTTGTTGTTGTTGTTGGCTGCCGTGAAGTCAATTCCGATTCATGGCGACCCCATGTGTTGCAGAGTAGAATTGCTCCGTGGGGTTTCCATAGGGTTTTCAACTGCTCCAAAGGATTTTCAAGACCTTTCGTGAAGCAGATCACCAGCCTGTCTCCCATGGCCCCTCGGGGTGGGTTTGAACCGCCAACCTTTCAGGTAGTGGTCAAACGCTTAACCATTTACACCACTCAGGGACCTAAATCCCCATTAAAGGGAAGCTATTTCTCATTTTATTTGGAGGCATCAGGCATGATGGGAGAGAAAAGTAAACAACAGATATTGCTCGCTCTTGTCCACAGCCATCGGCAAATGAGTCCGTAATGAAAATAGAGCGGACCATGGGTATGTTTTTCCCCCTGACAAATCATTAAAAGTTACCAGTGCTGGAAACTAGACAGTCTAGGGGAAAAAGAAAAAATAGAAACCCTAATTCTTAGATTCAAAAATTCATTTATTCGATCTAGTTGAGTTCCTAGACTGGGCCAGGCGTTTTGATAGGCAGTTGTGATCTTAATCTACTACTTTCTACGGTTCAAAAGCTCATTTTATTAATGTAATGAACTACGTTGTTTTGCATTTATTTTCTAATTTTTTGAAGTAAAATTTACAGATACGGTAACAACGCCAAACCACATTTTACTGAAGTAGTAAAATATTGTTAGAAATAATTCCCTAAACTGGTGGCCCTAACTTCTGGATTTGATGAAACAGTAAAGTTTCAAATACAGTTGAGAGAATCAACACAGCGTTGTATTAAAAAAGAAAAAGTCTTCATCTACTATGATTCTATTTCATAAAAAGAAGCACGTTTTAAATAACAAAGGTAATGGACATAATTTCTGAATAACGGGAATCCCTTTATATTGAATAAATTTAGCTTTTCAAACTTGTCCAAGAGTAAAAACTCATACTCTGGTAAAATAAAAGCAAAGAGATTTATTAAAGGTTCAGCACAGTTTGAACCGGGGAAAATGTTCAGCTCACAAAGCGAAATTAGAACGCTTGGAGGTGGTGAGGTTACAAAGACATATTTATATGCTTAAATTAGGAATTAATGCAAAATGTCTGATTGGTGCTCAGTAATGTAAGAAGGCAGGAGACGGGATAACTCAAAGCAGGGAATAGACAGAGATTGGTTCAAAGTGTATATGTGAGGCTTCTTAGATTGGTTACCTTAGATAATTGCAGAAGTTTGTGACTAAAGACAGAGTTTACTGGGTGGTAACATTCCTTTCTGAGACCATTCTAATAAGATAGCAGACCTAGCAAACATTCCCAGGGAGTTACTTGTGTAGGAGATTGCTGATAACGGGCTTGTGTCAAGACCTTCCCTTTAGAGTCATTGTTTCCATATCCTTAGCTTAACCAAAAAAAACCCTTTGCTGTCAACAGCGACGTATAGGACAGAGTGAAACTGCCGCATAGGGCTTCCAAGGATTGGCTGGTGGATTCAAAGTGCCAACCTTCTGGTTAGCAGCCAAAGCTCTTAACCACTGCACCACCAGGACTCCTTAGCTTAACAGCAGAGAAGAAACATTTTCTTAGTTGCAAGATCGTCTGCTCAAGGTTAACAGTTGATAAGGAGTAGGCAAAGGCTAAAATGGAGTTGGGGCTTAGACCCAGGCCAGTCACTTTGACAGAGTTAAGTGCCTCAGTTTTGGAGTTCTCACACAAACCAGTTGCCATTGAGTCAATTCCGACTCCTGGTGACCCATGAGTTATCCATGTGTATCAGAGTAGAACTGTGCTCCATAGGTTTTTCAGTGGCTGATTTTTCAGAAAAAGATCACCAGGACTTTTTTCCAAGGCACCTCTGGGTAGACTTGAACCTCCAACCTTTCCATTAGTAGCTGAGGTCATTAAATTTGCACCACCCAGGGACTCCATAGCTTCCCCTAAGAACTTGCTATAGTCATATATTTCTCATTTTGCCAAGAGCAATGAAAACTGTCCTTGACTAGAGAAACCTTGCTCTAAAATCTTTTTTCTTCCTCGTTTTTCATTCACTCGTTCACTAACTGGATCCCTGGTGTGTGCAGTTGTTAAGAGCTCAGCTGCTAACCAAAAAGTTGGCAGTTCGAATCCACCAGCCAATCCTTGGAAACCTTGTGGGGCAGTTCTTCTCTGTCCTATAGGGTCGCTATGAGTCGGAATCAACTCACCAGGAATGGGTTTGGTTTAGTGTTGGTTTTGTTCACAGACTAAAATGTAACCATAAAATACACATGACCATCAAGAATTCCAACCTAAAGAGGATATGTTACCTAATAATCCCATTTTCATAGTTAGAACATAGTTTATAAATTTAACCACTTGCTTATATAACAAAAAAATTTGGCAAAAATATATTATTTCCTCAAATAAATCATAACGTTTTAAATTCACATTTATTAAAGTTAAAGCAGAAATACCTATTACATAATTTTAAAATGTAATGGAATTATAAACTCATTATGAACTTTGAAGAAATTATTTATTTCACTTCATGGGATTTAGACAAGTAATTTCACATTTCATTTTAAGTCAAGAGAAAACATTTCTTGTACATCCAGCACTAACAGAGATATGATATGTCAATGAAATATTTAGATACAGAAATCAATTTTTAAATGGATTTCTATAAATAACATTCACAGGAAAACACATATAACACAATCCACTCTGGATCTAAGAGTCTTACTATATGCAAATATTGAAAGAAACTATTCTTCTGAAAGTTTTCTCATTTAAAAAATACATTGTGAGAACAATTTCATGAATAGAGGAATCAATTGGTACTCAACAATTAAGAAACAGGACATATAAACATGCAATTTTTAGGTACGAACAAAGACTATATGTTGTCAGCCTAGAGGATGGTCTACTCTCTCCCTCTTCCATGGTGCAGGGACGTTTCATATTTCGTAGTTTCTAAACTTCCTCAGGAGTTCAGAGGGAGCGTCTCCAGACCAGCAGAAACGAAGGTACCAACAGTTCACATCTGAAAAACCTTTAAAAGAGAGAAGAAAAGACTTTAAAATCAGTAGTAGGAAGAGAAAAGTCAAACATGTAATAGTAGAACAACTTGGTGAATAAAAGTGATACAATTTCACTGCAACAACTAAAACTTTGGTATGAATTATTAATATTTTTGAATTCTTATGAACAAGAATTTCAGTTTATATAGGTGAGAGGACCTCACAGGCTTAAATGCTTAATAATAAATGAAAATTTATAGATGTTTCCAGTGGTGGGAATTTTGACAATTCACCAGGAAAGAAATTGAAAAAAACTTTCAAACAGCTGCCAAATGTAAAAGGTCAATGGTAAAGGGCCCTGGAAATATCAGTAACTCAATTCCATGGTAGTAAGATTTATTTTAATTACAATAAACAACATTGTTGAAAACTAGAGAAAAGGTCATCTTCCTTCTCTACTGGAGAAGTATAAATTGGCAAAACTCTCCTGGCAGGAAATTTTGACAATATTTATCAAGCTCATTAAAATGAATATAACCTTTGACCCAATAATTCTACTTCTAGAAATTTTCCTAAGGAAATAATCATGGATGTGCCCAAGGATTAAACTATAAGAATGTTTATCATGCTATAATTTATAAATGTTAAAAAGTCAAGAAACAACCCTACCACCACCAACTGCCCTGACAGGGATCACAATAGAGGGTCCTGGACAGAGCTGGAGAAAAATGTGGAACAAAATTCTAACTCACAAAAAAAAAAAGAGAGAGAGAGACTAGACTTACTGGTCTGACAGAGACTGGAGAAATTCCAAGAGTATGGCCCCTGGACACGCTTATAACTCAGTAATGAAGTCACTCCTGAGGTTCACCCTTCAGCCAAAGATTAGACAAGCCCATAAAACAAAATGAGACTAAATGGGCACATGAACCCAGGAGCAAGGATGAGAAGGTAGGAGGGGACAGTAAAGCTGGTAATGGGGAACCCAAGGTTGAGAAGGGGAAAGTGTTGACATGTCATGGGGTTGGCAACCAATGGCACAAAGTATGTGTATTGTTTAATGAGAAACTTGTTTGCTCTGTAGACCTTCATCTAAAGTACAATTAAAAAAAAAAGTCAAACAACCTAAATTCTAAACAATAGAAAGTTGGTTGTCAAAATTTAACATTTTTAAATATTTACTATTGCAGAAAAATGCTCATAACATATTTCTAAGAGGACAGCAGTTACAAAACAGTTCATAAGTATGATGTCATTCCTAAATTTATTTATTTACACGGGCAGTTATGTTTAAAAAAATTTAAGTCTAAAATGACATACATCTTACTTTCTTGCAATGAATAAGTATTCCTTGTGTCATTGTTTTATGTCTATAGTATTGCTAATAAAAAGTAGGTTACAAGACAATACATAAAATATGCCTCCATTGGTATTTAAAAATATCTAAAAATCTAGTTAGGAAAAATATACACAGAATAGTTAACGGTGGTTATCTCAGGAAAACAGGATCTATTTGTACTTTTTTTAGAATCGTCAGAGAAAACAAATCGGAAGAATTTCCATTTGGGGAAAAAGCAAAAAGGAAACTGTTTCTGACATTCCACCTGTAATTGAAACATGCACACAAAATATGTGTAGTATGATCCCATTTTAGGTATACTAATACATATGAAGGAGTCCTGGTGGCACAGTCATTAAGCACTTGCCCAAAAGTTCAGCAGTTCAAACCCACCAGCCACTCCACAGCAGAAAGATGTGGCAGTCTGCTTCCGTAAAGATTTACTGCCTGGGAAACCCTATGGGGCAATTCTACTCTGTCCTATAGGGTCGCTATGAGTCGGAATCGACTCGATGGCAATGGGTCTTAAAATATGTGAAAATACACCAAATATGCCAAATAAACCAAAATATCAATAATAGTTATTTCTCTAGGTGGTAAGATTATGAGTTGTATTTTTTTCCTTTTGCTTGATCATATTTTCTCAGATTTCATCAGTAAATATGTGTTATTTTTGTAGTTTTTAAAATGTTGTCTAGTTCGGGTTCCTCTAGAAACAGACACTCAGACAAGGATTTGAATACAAGTGGAAAACTTTGGAGGTGATCCCAGGGGACACTGACAGGGTTAGGGAAGGGAAGTCAATAAGGGGCATGTTATCCAGCAGGTTTCACCATGGGCAACCGGGTCTTGATCTCACTGGGGAATCCAGGGAGATATTATAAAAACCCCTCAGAATTACCCCACCTGAAGGGTGAAGGAACTGAGGAATTTAGCCTCCCACTCCCATTCCTTATGGGTTGATGGCTGCTCCCAAAGGGAGTTTGCTCCCAAAGTTCACTCCCTGGCTCTTACCACCTGCTCTTTTGCTGCCCAGCAGGCTCCATTGTCAGAGAATGTCATGATGCTTGGAGCAGGAACCACAGGGCTGGCAATGCCTGGAAAGGTAGGTGCCCAGGGGATATGGCCGAACATCAACAGCATCTATTACATTTGATTTTTTTCTTTTTTTGCTCCAGGATGCTACAATGCTACATAAAACTAATTAATTCTGGAATTGCATTTATTATGTTTTTAAATGGAAAGAAAGTAAAAGTGAGCTTGCCCTGCACACCAGTTTTCAGATGCCATGCTTCATGTTTTACTGGTTGCAATGAAGTGCTGGAATGTGATTGGGGACTACTTGGTGGCTGCTCGTCACAGAAGAGCCATCAAAAGGAAAACTCCAAAGTAAATACCAAGCATTGCTTGAGGGAATTAACAAATGTGCTGAAAAGTAATATTATAAGAAGATACTCAGGGCTTATAAAACTGACATGAATGTTAATCCTTAAATGCTGACCTTGTAAAATCTGCACCACAGTAAAATGAAATCATAAATAATCATGCAACAGCACTTTGATATATCAAACTCCAAACTGAAGGCACTACTCAGAACAGCCAGCGATCTCTTAAACAGCATTAAGAAAATACTGGTAAATGCATCCTTTGGCAGAATTTCATAATTCTTACTCTCCAACAACAGCTTGTCAGAGAGGTGCTCCTCCGTGCCCTCACCGCCTCCACTTCGTTCTTCAACCACAGTAAGAGAAGACACTTCACGAGTGGAGGGCATCGAAACTGGCATCACAATTTATTCTGACTCAACTACGACATATCTACACTGTAGAATATGATCAACTGTTAAAAAGAATGAGTTAGCTCTAAATGTAAGGATCTAGGAGAAACCCCATAATAAAAGCTAACAGTAAAAAAAGCACTTCCCATATGCCCAACAGTGGTCTAAAGACTTCATGTATATTAAGTTATTTACTCATCACAAAAAACTTGAGGAGGCAGACACTAATATTTTTACCATTAAAAACTCAGACAAGAGGGAGAGGGAAAGGAGGAATCAATGTCTAGGGGGCACTGAGTTTCTCTTAGGATGATGGAAAAATCTGGTGATGGCTGTACAACATGAAGAACATGACTAAAGACACTGAATGGCACATGTAAAAAATGATGAAATGGCAAATGTCTTGCTATATATATATTTACCACAATTAAAAAAAAAAACAAAACCTCAGGTTGGGTACCTAGCTTGCCCAAGGTCACATAACTCCTAAGTGGAAAAGCTGGCATCTAGATCCAGTCCAGCTCCAATGTCTGCACTCTTAACCACTCTGTAACCCTGTTCTTTATTTTTAAAGATCTCAGAAACTATACATTTACTTGGACATAGCTTTGTATTAGCACGGAGAACCATGTGGAAGGAGACACATCTGAGCATCCGCATAGGCTACTTCAGAGACTAGAAGCAGAGAAGAATAGGGGGACGGGGTAGACACTAAGTTACTGTTTTATATTTAAAAAAAAACCAACAAACTCATTGGCTTTGAGTTGATTGTCTGACTCATACTGACCCTATAGGACAGAGAGGAACTGCCCTATAGGATTTCCAAGAAGCAGCTGGTGGATTCGAACTGCAGACCCTTTGGGTTAGCAGCAGAGCTCTTAACCACTGTGCCACCAGGGCTCCATTGTCTATATGTGAATGTTTTATTTTTTTTAACAACAAGATCATATTACTTCTGGGTTTTGTTTTGTTGTTTTTTTAATATCCAAACAACTATTTAAAAAGAAAGAAAGAAAATTTCCTAGAGTCCTGCAAGAAGGACTCAAATAGGGCCCCAGCATCCTGCCTGGTTCGTCTTGAAGTATTCAAACCTCCCCAGTTCCAGTGAACTCAGACCATCCTTGATTCTGACCGAAACAGAAAACCACAGGGAGACCACGGGGACTCAGGGAGCACAGACCTGAACACTCCAGGGCTGAAAGGAGAAATGTTTGCACGTTTGCCTGGAGGGGTGGGGTTTGAGTGGGTGTATGTATGTATGTGTTTGTTTAAAACACTTTGTTTCAAATTCGGGCTTCTTTGATCAGTTTGTTATAACCATTTCCACCTACACGGCTGATGCAATCAAAGGGCCAACTCTACAGAAGGATCTCTTGAGTAACCCAGCAGAGACCCCTGAATCAAACTTCAAGAATCTTTATTCTCAGCAAGGGGTGAGCGTGTTAAAGTTTTCCTCAAAGATTTTAAGTGACTGTGTTGATTTTTAGGATTGTGAAATTTAAGCAGAAGATTCCACAACATCCGTGAACACTTGTTTTTAAATAGAAGATAATGAGATAGTCACTTCAAATAAGAATTTGAAGGATAGTTATCTGTGCATGTATATAACACACTCAAACACAGCTGGATGGTAGATAGATGGCTAGATAAACAAACAAAGAAATGATAATGGTAGTTAATGGTTACCCAGGGCCTGCTACAGGCCAACCACTGTGCTAAGCATTTTATGTAGAGTGGAAGACCCTCCCAGAAATGTCTGAAGGTTGCCCTGGCAAGGAAGGTATTAAGGAATGTATCTTCTAGTTTCCATGTCAATGCTAAGGAAATATCTTTTAACATGCTAAACCAATCCTTAAATTTACTACTGTGCAGACTGCAAAAGGTTAAGAATAAATGCAATACAAACCAAACCCTTTAATTTAAGACTTTATCTGTCTGCAAAACTAAATGTCAGGACTTACCTGGGGAATCTGGATTTTGTGGGGAGAATGACTTCTCCAGGGACTCTGAGTCTTTTTGCTCTATTTTCTCTGTGGTTGAACCCATCTCCTCTTTGTTTATTTCTCTTTGCTTGTTCCAGTCCTCATTTTCAATCTTGTTGGTATGAGTCTGGTCAGATTCTTCCAGCATCAGGTCTTTTTTACCTCTGACAGCCCAATGCATTGACTAAATTCATTAAAAGGAAACACATAGATACCAAATCAATACAGTTTCCTATATTTAAAGTTCAGTATGTGGTAACTCCTGACCCACTATTATAGTGCTAATTACCAGAATATTAGAGTTGACTGTTACCCAGATATTAATAATTAATCCTCACTGATTTAGAAGACTAATGGTATAAAGGGAAATCCACATCATGGGTATGGAGCAAAGGGACCAGCATCAGAGAGGTTTAAAGAATGAGGTTGTTGGTTTCTCAAAAATTAAACATAGCAATATCAAAGACCCAACAATTCCAATCCTAGCTATATACCCAAAAGAACTGGGTTCAAACAAAAACTTGTACACAAATGTTCATAGCAGCACTATTCACAATAGCCAAATGGTGGAAATAACCCAAATGTCCATCAGCTAATGAATGGATAAACAAAATGTGGTATATACATACAATGGAATATTATTCAGCCATAAAAAGGAATGAAGTACTGACACATCCTCTGACATAGACAAACCTTGAAAATATTATGCTAAGGGAAAGAAGCTAGGCACAAAAGGTTACATTTTGCATGATTCTATTCATATGAAATGTCCAGAATAGGCAAATTCATAGAGACATAAAGGAGATTAGTAGTTGGCAAGGGCTGGGAAAAGGGAATAGGGGGTGACTGGTTACTGAGAAAGGGGATTCCTTTCGAGGTAATGGAAAAGCTCTGAAACTATATAGTGGTGATGGATGTACAATGGTGTGAATGTACTTAATGCCATTGAATTGTACACTTTAAAATAATTAAAATAGCAAATTTTATGTTATGTGTATTTTACCACAATTAAAAAAAAAAAACTTTAGAAAATCAAGACCTTGGGCCTTTGGCCATGCCGGAGATTAAACCAACTACTACTGTGACTATAACCCTTCCCTCCCAGCAATGTCAATGCAAAGTTGACAAAAATACTAGAATTCTAGATTATACATATTTTCTTTAAGTAAACTCATAACACAAAGCAGGAATTCAATCAGTGTTTTATTTGTTGAATAGTTCCTGGTAATGCAGAATGTTAGTGAGAGGATGGACACACGAGTTCTCCCAAACATCAGACAATCTTATTGAGGGAAATGTGACAATATCAATCAAAATTTTAATTGTTCATAGTCTTTGACCCAGTAAAGCTGGCAGAGTTATACTGACAAACAATTAAGAGCCAAGTGAAAAAGAAGCAACAACAAGAATCATGATAAAACCGGCTCTTCAGAAAAAAGCATGGGACTGAGATAGAAGGGAGAGGGGAGGAACTGACACTTCTCTGAGTATAGATTTTTATCTAGTTTTGACTTTTAGAACCATATTAATATTTTGTATATTTTAAAATAAAGAATGGAAGAAAACCTTTAAATGAATGTGAACAGAAACAAATGAATCTAACCATATTTCAAATGAATAACACAACATTTCTGAAGGAAAAAAAAAAGAACCCATTTAAATAACTTTTGAACTTACTACTTTGATGATATACCTTCAATCTAAACACAAAAAGAACTATAAAAAAACCTTGAATATTAAAAAAAAAAAAAAAAAAAACCTTGAACTCATCTGTAGGTGTGTTTTTCACAGTGGTATGGATGTACCCATTCTGAAACTATTTTGTGTGTATTGTAGGATTAAACAAATGAGTACATATTTATGTTACTGAGAGCTAAGGTTCTCAGTGTAGGAGAAGATAAATACAAATACGGAACAGGAAAAGACAAGGAAGAATCTAGTGGCACTGGACTGGAATTAGAGGTATTAGTGTGAATTCATGATTTTAAAAATATATACATATGAAAATGTAATTTTTTCCCTCAGCTCTGCTTGCTGAAAAGGCCTAGAAACAACAGCACCTGAGTAGCAATGAGCACATGGAGAACTCAGATCTTGGTTTCTAATACCATTCCCCACTAAAAGGAATCAGGACTCTTTGAAAAATGGCTAATTCCAGTCAGTACTGGAGTACAGAAAGTACAAGATGAACATGGAACATCTTGTTATACCACAGTGAGGAACTGTTTAAAAAAATGATGGGGACATGTCCAAAAAGATAAAGGAGCCAGCTTAAAGGGATTCTCCCTAGCCGAATCAGGAAAATTTCAAACATCAGGATGACAGTAATGGATTACATCGCACGAATACGAATCCATGAGTCCATACTGATAACAAGTAAGTAAAAACATTAATAAAGGAGAAGGGAAAGCTCTTCCTTGCAGTAGAATGCCAACTAATAAATGTAGAAAGAATGACAGAGTTAGAGAAATCGCCACTTTGGAAGCATAATAATAATAGATTCAGGCAAGCATCATCAAAGGATGCAGAAACTTGGTGAAAATGTGAGGACAAACAGGATAATTGCATAGTTTCAAAGTTTCTCCCCATAGATAAATTATCAAGAGCAAAAATGGAAACTTTACAGTGGAGAAACCTGGTGGACACACCACCTCATCTGCCTGATCAAAGTTAACACCACCAATAATGAGACAAACTGGCATCATGTACCTCCTGATGTGATGCACTGAGGAGGACACATCATCACTTCAGAAGTATTCCGGCCCAAAGAAGATAATCCGAATCTAATCCTAAGGAAACACCAAACAGTCTAACTTGAGGGACATTCTACAAAACAACTGAACTCCTTAAAGATGGCAATGTCTTAACTGGCTGAGACGAGAGGACTCCACGAGACTATCACCCTGAGATACTCCATAAACCTTGAACCAAAACTACCCACTGAGGTCAGCTTTTAGCTAAATAACAGATTGGCTCATAAAATAAAGAATATTACCAGTGAGTACTGCACACCTCTAAAAAATCATCTATATGAGACCAAGTGATCACCAGTTACTCTAAAGCAAAGATGAAAGGGTAAGGGTACAGGGAAACCAGATTACCGGAAATGCAACATCCAGAATGGAAGGAATGATAATGTTAACACATTGTGAAAAATGTAAACAATGTCACTGAACAATCTGTGTAGTAATTGTTAAATGGGAACCTAATCTGCTGTGTAAACTTTTGCTGAAAACACAATAGAATATTTAAAAAAAAAAAAAAAAGATTACAGCCTTCGAAATCCTATGGGGCAGTTTAAAAAAAAAAAAAAAAGGCAATGTCATAAAAGACATAGGAAGGCTGAAGAACTTTTCCAGATTAAAGGAATCTAAGAAGTCATGACAGTTAAATATAATTCATGATCCTGAACTGGATCCAGAATGAGGGAGGGGGAATGCCACAAAGGACATTATAGGGACAGTTGGCAAAAATTGAATATGAATTGTTTATTAGATAACAGTATGGAATCAAAGTTAGATTTCCTAGATTTGAAAATTATAGTGTGTTTATGTAAGAGAATGTCTTTGTTCTTAGGAAATAAAGGGGTAAAGTGGCAAAGAAACTCTCAAATGGTCTAAGAGAAAGTTTAACGTGCACACATGGTGAGGGGAGTGATAAAGCGTATGTGGTGAGTGTAACAAGTGTGACTCTGGATGAAGGGTATTTAGGTATTTTTTGTACTGTTCTTGCAATTCTTTTGGGAGGCGTTTGAAATTATTTCAAAATATAAAGTAAGGAATAAATAAATACAGCACATCATGTCAGCTCTGCAAACAAAAAAATATTTGAATATTAAAGAATTAAGAGAGGCTTTTGGGAATATTCAGGAAGTATCCAGTTTTTTGGTTTTTTTTTTTGCAAAAATTATTCTTTGATCATCTTGCTGTGGAAGCAAACATGAAGGAAGGATGGGATAATGTGCTATTAATTTTGTCAAAAAACTACGCCGAAAAACACGGTGGTCAATGTTGGATATATTCTTTGTTCATGCTATAAATTGGTGTATGGTTGCAGTTATAACCTACATTATGTGAAACATAATATAAAGTAAACTTATTGTCATAAAAATTGGTTTCCTTTTTCAAGGAAAACTAGCACTCAAATATTTTTTTTTGCCATTTACTATGAAATATTTGTCCTAATTTTAAGATGATTCACTTTAGGTGAACTTTTTAAATATACCTATCCTCAGATAATAAGAACTTTATAAATATCTTTCCATTTAGTTTCTTTAAGAAGGATAACATGTGCGTGTACACTGTATGGAAATTTTCCGGAAGGAAACACAAGAAAATATAATGGAGACTGTTTCTGGGAGAGGGGGATACTTCTAGGGTCTAGAATCAGGATAGACTCACTTTTCATTACATATCCTATTGAGAAAGGAGGGGAACTTTTTTTAAACAATAGTTATATTGTCTTTTTAATTTATTAAAGTCCATATATTAACAATGTTGGGCATTTGCCTTTGACTTCTGGTAAACTTTTATACTTCTAGACAAAAACAGGAGCCCAAACTCTTGAAAACACTCCCTAAAAACCTGGTATCCTATAATTGTCTCCAATATGCTTGGTGGGGTCCTTCATCCAGTGACTCAATTACATAATTTTGCCATCATAGCTCTGGCTGTTTGTGGAAAGTGGGGAGTGAGAGACCAAATATGCACCTTCAAAACAGAAGTTTGTTACGTCAGAACTTAGGAAGAAAGGGAGAAGACAGACTTCCTTTTCAGCATATATACTCTTTCATACTTTTTAAATTTTGTGTCTCGTATATTTATTACCTATTAAAAAATTTAAAATTGGATGAATGGATGGATGGATGGATGGATGGATGAATACAGAGTGGGAAAGAAAGATTGAGAGTTTGGTGTGTCAAGAATATTTCAGGTAGAATAATTAGCCCTGGCATCAACCAAAATAATAAATATAACCATTTCTTGAAACCTCATCTGGATATTGTGGGAAGCTACTCCCGAGGCAAGGAGCTCTGTGGTGCAATGGTTAAGTGCTCAGCTGCAAACCAAAAGGTAAGAGGTTCTAACCCACCAGCAGTTACGAGGGAGAAAAGACCTAGAGATCTGCTCCAATAAAGACGACAGCCTAGGAAACCCTGTGGGGCAGTTCTACTCTGTCCTATAG